GCCGGAGGCGACGATGTATCGAGGAATGGGCCCCTCGGTGGGGCCGAAACCAGCTGCATGCAGCAAATATCGTAACCCCCCCTTTCCCAATCCCCCCCTTTCGTCCGGCCCGACAGGTTCGTGCCGTGCCGACTTCGGCGTTGGTTTCTGACACCACGGGGATCGTTCAACACTGAACGATCGGCCGTTGACCAAACGTCCGATCGCTCAACCTCGACCGATTTTGGGTGGCCGGCGAAGTTCAACCTTGAGCGCCCGCGCTGGGGTCGCCGCTGGGCGACACGACGCGAAAATACCGTAGCGACCTTGCGCGGTGGCTTACGCGGGCAGTCAGCGTTGCACGCTACATTGGAAACAAGAGTGCTTACGCGCGACCTTACGCGGGCAGCTTACGCGCGAATGTCCGCGCAATCGACCCCGTGTCTTCCGTCGCTCATGGTCTTGTTGAGTGATATACCCAGTATCGCCTCTTCGAGTGTTAGAGCATCGAACATAGTCCAGGAGGTCTCCACGATCATTCCAAGGCGACCTGGGCGCTGGCCCGAGAGGCACACAAGAGGGGTCCCAAAGGGGAGAATTCGAAGGTGTCCAAGGAGCCCTTCCCCCCAAGATGATCCCCCAGACCGCCAGCAAGCCCCTGAGACTCCCCCAAGGGGTCCCCCTGGAGGCCACCAGGAGGCCCCCCAGACGCCAGCAAGAAGCCTCCGAGAGGCCTCCAGGAGATCAGCAGGAGGCCCCCCAGGAGACCCCGAGAGGGTCTGGTCCAAAGGCATGCGCGGTGGCGGGACGGGCCGAAGTCCATCAAATATTCCAGCGCGCTTGGATACCATCGCACGCATCAGTTCCAACTCGTCACCGATGGCCACGGAGAAGCACAGGAGCGACGGATCTCCCCACGGCCGCTGAGCGAGGAGCTGCGTGGAGGTGCTGCACGGCCTGGTGCAGTTGTTGATGCCCTCCCGGTGCATCTTCGCCTGGAAGTCCTCGAACCTCGAGTCCAGCGAGAGCCCCTCGTACCTGAAGGGGCCCCAGGACACACAAATTCGCCGGCCCAACGGGCCAGAGGCGTGCTAAGATCTCCGGTAACTTGTTAACAATATTTCTAGTTCGCGCGCGCGGAGCGGCCCCTGGGGGCCCCCGGACGAAAAGTACCCTGGCAAGGTCCCGAGAGAAGCCCGGGAGAAGCCACCAGACCACTCCAGGGGAGGGTATATGTTCGACACCCCTCACGAGGATCGTGGACTCCGAGGGGGGAGCCGCAATCGACTACCCCCAAGAGCCCCCCAAGAGGCCCTGGGGGCCTCCAAAACGCCGCCAAGGAGCCCCAAGAGACTCCCAAGAGGTCCCCAAGAGGCCCCCAAGAGGCCCTAAAGAGGGCTCCAGGGCTGGCGGCATGAGCGAAGCGATTAAATAAATACACACAAATAAAACAAATCCCCATATTTTCCTACATTTCCTGGGTTTCTGTCTTCCCCACCACTTCCCATATTTTGCCGTATTTTCTGGGGAATCGACGATGAATTGTGTCTGTGTGTTTTTTCCCCTCCTGAGTACCACTCGGGGCGCCGGTGTATGCCCGTGAAGTACGCCCACCGCACGGCCTCGTAGCACTCCTCGCCGCCCACGGCGGTGCGGCACTCCGGGGCCCCCGCCCCCTCCGAGGCGCTGCGGCCCGGCTCGCGGGACGCCGCCCGGCCTGCGTCGGAGCTGCTGGCCTCCGCGGGGCTGCCTGGGGTCGGGGCCGGGGCGGCGGCGGAGCCGTTGGCCTCCGCGGGGCTGCCCGGGGTCGGGGTGGTCGTTGGAGGCGCCGCCGCGTCCGGCGTGTCGAAGACCGCCGCCAAGAGGGCGGACTCGGAAGCCGTGTGGCTCGGCGGCCCAGGCTGCTCCTGGGCGGCCGCGCCTGCGTCCTGCAGAAAGGCCTCCGGCGCCGTGCGAGATCGCTCTGGGGCATCCCAGGCCCCCGGGAGCTCCTCTCGACGCCGTCCCCAGGGCCGGGTTTTTCCCCGGGGCCGTTTGCGTTGACAGTCTGTGGGGGCCCCGAGCGGGGCCTCTCCCCGGGGCCGAGGAGAGCGCGGACAAGAACACCTCCCGCCCGCCCAGACATCCGATGCCTGTTTTTTGCTGCACTCTGGGGTCCACCGAAGTCCCCCAGGGCTGGCTTCTCATCCTGCGTACAATCAAGCTGCTGCTCACACACGGAACAGAGCCACTTTAAAAAGAGCCTGGGTGCAAGAGAAGCGCTAGAGAACCAACCACGGAAGGACCCAAGGAAGAGCGAGCCCCAACCGAACCCGAACTGGTCCTTCCTTCAGCGTCTCGACCTCCGTTTTTTTGATGGTGCTAGGACCCGGCGAGGGCCCCTGGAAGCTGAAGACAGCGAAACCATCTGTCGTGATCCTTGCCAAGGCTTCGGACATCTGGGCCGAGATCTGAAGTCGCGACAGCCGGCGGCCTGGGCCTGCTCCGCCGCCGCCTGCGGCGGCGGCTTGGCGGGCGCTCGCCAGGACGGGGCCGTCTTCGCCTCGCGGCGAAGGAAAAACCGGCCACACGCAAAAATGACCCTGGGCAAGAGTGACCTCTGGTGCGCGGCTTCACGGGTGCGCGGGGGAGGGGGGGGGCAACCCAAGCGCGCAAGCCGCTGCTACCGCATCGCGCTCCCACGATCGGGTGGCCCCGCTCCACACGTCACTTCGGCAGAAGGTGATTCTCCCACGCGCAGCCGAGAACAGGGGGCCCGAGGCTCAACGCGTCTCTTAGACTCGTGGGCTTTTCATTATGAGGTCTTACGCCTCGTAGACTGGCAACTCCTCCAGGACCTCTGAGGTCCTGGGTGCTTCACGAGCCCAGCCCCGGTTTCTCCGTGGGCGGCATTCCGCCTAGAACTTCGAAGGGCGTCGGGCTGCCAGGATGCCCCCCAGGAGGCCCACAAATCGTCGTCCCAAGCGTTAGGTCGGGCATGTCCCCTACAGGCGGATTTTGGACGAAAAATCCGCCGGCCCCTTTATGGGGCCACCAGGCTGTAGGCTGAGGGTTTGCTGTTCCCTGCGCCAGTTCCAGTTTCCAGTTTCCACTGTTACAATATTGATGTCTGCTGCTTACTGTTCCTTGTTGTAGCCCGCGCGAGGGGGGGGGCCGAAAAGCGTTTGGATTACCACGCCCGGGTCGCGTGCTCTGAATTCCTGGGGGAGGCGTAGGACGCGTAAAAGTGCTTGGAATTCGCGCTCCCGGGGCCATACACCCTCGTAAATTATGCGATGTTCGCGTCCCCGACGCCATAAACCCTGGCGGGGCGCGCCGCGTTCGTGTCCCCGGAGCCGCAAGCCTTCGTGAAATTCGCGCCCCCGAGGCCACACACCCTCATACATTATTCCATAGTCGCGTCCCCGACGCCATAAAACCCTAGCAAAATACGCTATATTCGTGTCCCCGAAGCCACAAACCTCCGCAAACTACGCGCCACTCGCGTCCTCGAAGCCACAGGCGCCCGCAAATCATGCAATATTGGCGCCCCCGAAGCCACAAACCCAATACAAATGCATTATATTCGCGTCTCCGAAATCACACACCCTCGTAATTTGCACAATATTCGCGTTCCCGATGGGATAAGCCTTTAAGTCTATTCAATATTCGCGTCCCCGAAACCATAAACCCTTGCAAATTACGCTATATTCGCGTATACGAAGCTAGAAACCTGTGTAATTTACGCCATATTCGCGCCCCCGAGGCCATACACCTGCGCAAATGACGCAATCTTTGCGACCCTGCTAATGATGATGATGATGATGATGATGATGATGATGATGACGATGATGATGATGATGATGATGATGATGATGATGATGATGATGATGATGATGATGATGATGATGATGATACTGATGATGATGATGATGATGATGATGAGATGAATGATGATGATGATGATGATGATGATGATGATGATGATGATGATGATGATGACGATGATGATGATGATGATGATGATGATGCTGATGCTGATGCTGATGATGCGGATGGTGCTGATGCTTTTGATGATGCTGATGGTGATGATGGTGATGATGATGGCGATGATGATGATGCTGATGATGATAATGCCAATGCTGATGACGATGATGATGAGGTTGTTGATGCTGATGACGATGATGGTGCTGAATGTGATGATGATGGTGATGCTGACGATGATGATAAATATGCTGATGATGCTGATGCTGATGATGGTATTGATGGTTGTGGTGATGCTGCTGCTGATGATGGTGATATTGATTATGATTATGATGATGATGATGATGATGATGATGATGATGATGATGATGATGGTGTTGATGGTGTTGATGACGATGATGATGATGATGATGATGATGATGATGATGATGATGATGATGATGATGTTGCTGCTGCTGCTGATGATGCTGATGCTGCTCCTGTGGCATCCTGGGGAGGATCCGTGCCCACGAGTCAGGCCACCAAAACAAGCAAACCGATCGAGACATCCTCCACATCTGCTCCGAACGCGAAGGATGATGGGGCACCGAAACAAGCAAACCGCTCGAGACATCCTGCCCATTTTGGCGCGAACGGACGAATGCAATACCCTCTGGCGACTTCCCCTTGGGGGTGCTGAAACCCGCGCCTCGCTCGAGGCATTCTCAGAATTTTCTCCGCCATTATCATCACCATCACCATCACCATCATCACCATCATCACCATCATCACCATCATCATCATCATCATCATCATCATCATCATCATCATCATCAGCATCAGCATCAGCATCATCATCATCATCATCATCATCATCATCATCATCATCATCATCATCAGCATCGTCATCATCATCAGCATCATCATCATCATCGGCATCATCATCAGTATCATCAGCATCATCATCACCATCGTCATCATCATCATCATCAGCAGCATCATTGTTAGCATCATCGTCCTCATCAACAGCATAATCATATCGCGTGTCCGAAGCCATAAACCGTTGTAAATTACACACTATTCACGTCTCCGAAGCCATAAACCTGCGTGAATCATGTACATCTGCGACCCCAAACCCATAAACCTTAGTAAATTACGCGCTAGCCGCGTATCCGAAGCCATAATCCCTAGTAGATTACATTATACTCGCGTCTCCGAAGCCATCAACCCTTGTACATTATGTTAAACTTACGCTAACGTCGCGTCCCCGAAGTGGACCCCTTTCAACAATTATGCTATAATCTCGGCCAGGCAACCATAAACCTTCGTACTTTACAGAAGATTTGCCACATTTCTAAAATTCGGCGGCGCCCCTCACGCAGATCGGCGGGGTCAGGGTCGAAAAACTGATGGGATTGCTACATGTCTGAAATTCGGCGGCACCCCTCAAGCAGATCAGCAGGGTCAGGGTCGAATAACCAATTGGATTTGACACATTTCTGAAATTCGGCGGGAAACCTCAGTGCATAGCATACGGAGGCAGGTTCAAAATGCAACGCTGAATTCAACAATATCATCATAATCTCAATTTCTCTTGCCGATGCTGCTTCACGGCGGCGCCGAGGCCTCATGATTTAGCTTTTGCATAGCCAATGGGCCAATTGTCAGAGAGAGGGGGCCGGCGGCAGGGGGCGAAGCCCTTTCGGATGAAAAATGCCAGAACACAGATTCAGAACATTGGCAAAAAGAGCAACAACAAGAATCCCCCCCTGACGGTTTTACATATGTTTTGGCATACTCCTCCTGCAGAGGGACAGGCCCGACTTGACCCAAGCGCCCATAACTCCCGCTGGAAGGCACAGAGGATCTAAAACAACTCTTCTTCTTCTTCGGAGGAGGAGGAGGAGGAGGAGGGAGGAGGGAGAAGGAGGATTGGGAGGAAGAGGAGGAGGAGGAGGAGGAGGAGGAGGAGGAGGAGGAGGAGGAGGAGCCGGCCGCCCGGGAGCTCCCCGAGGTGCTCATCTCTGGCGGTCCCCCGCGAGCCTCCGGAAGCCCCCCGACGATCCCAGAGGGCCAATGGCTCCAAACTCCAGGCGTCCAGAACCTCCGCAGGAAGGCCACCAGCGTCCAACAGCTCTTCCATCGGCCGCGAGCGAGGGGGGGGAAGGGAGGATGAGAGGGCCCTCTCAGAAGATTCGGAAGTCATCAGGCCTTCTCGGAAGTTTTCTAAGCTTCCCCCGCAAACATAGAAACATCCTCAGACGGCGCGGGGGCTTCGGAGAAGCCCCACCGCCTTCTGAGAAGGCCTTCTCCTTCTCATTTCCCCCCCTCGCTCGCCGCCGATTCAGTTCGCTGGGAGCCAGGCTGGTCTCGAGAGTTCTCCAAATGTCTACGAATCTCTGGAGAGGCTCCTCGACGCTCCCGTAAGTCCTCGGCGGCCCCCACGCGCGAGGGCTCCCTTCTGAGCCGGCTCGGCGCCCGAGTACCACTCAGCCGCCGAGTGGCCCAGGGTAGTGTTGGGTCGGGCATGTCCTTCGTCAGGCGGCTCTTGGAAGAACAATGAGAAATAGCAACAACATATTATATATATATAATGGACCAAAATGGTAGAACAATCATCCCCTGATTATGATTTTGGCTACTTTTGGATCTCCCTCCTGTAGAAGGACATGCCCGACTTAAGGGTAGTGCCCGTTGGGCCGCCGAATTGGTCAGACTCCAGCCACCCGGTGTCGAGGATCTTCTGACCTGGGTCAATCCAGACCGGGGGCAGGCAAGCCTGCAGATGCGAAGCGGGGATTTATCCACATCCACCGCCTGGGAACCGACGTCCTGGTGCCCCAGCGGGCGGTGGATATGGATATATTTCGGCCCCCGGGGGCCCGAATATGTCCATATCCACCGCCTCCCGAGGCTCCGAAAACTGTCCCTCCAGGCGGTGGATATGGATAAATTCCCGCCTGGGGGCAGAATCCTGCAAAATCCTGCAAGATCCTGCACCCAAACCCGGGTCTATGCAAAGGATCCTGCAAGATCCTGCAGGATCCTGCGCCAAAGCCGGGGTCAATGCGACCCTGGCCCTGCAGGATCCTGCAGGATCGGGCGCTCTGGCTGACCCCCGTTTGCATTGACCCCCGTCTCAAGGCTCCCCAGAAATGCGAGGTCCTGATTTTTTCAGGACGGACTGAATCTTTCAGGACGGCGTCCCTGGAAGTCCCGACCCTTTCCCCGGGACCAGTTTGTCGTCCTGAGTCGTTTCTTGATGGTCCCGAGGCCCGGCGAGGGCCACGGGCCGAAAATAGGCAAGAACTTCCTGTCCTGATTTTCTATTTTCACGACGCGATCATGTCTGGGACGGCTCCCGACGGAGGAGAATGGCGCCCGATCCCGCGGCCCGCGCGGCGGCAGACGCCGCCGAACGAAGGGGGCTCCGACGCGAGCTCTGGCTGTGGGGCAGCTCTGCGCCCGGAGCCGGGCGCCTCGGCGGCCCGCGGAGGGCCCCAGAAGAGGGGCCCGCAGACGGCGAATGACGCTTCGGACCCCTGCCCTCCACGACCCAGGAGGAGGAGGAAGAGGAGG